TTATATTGACTTATCAAGTTTTTATAAAACCATATAGACTGCACAACGTCACACCTCGTACTTGTGTGAACAGTGCAGATAACTTCTGCTATGTTTGCGTTGAGGTAACATTTGGATCACAGAAGAGTAGTATAACCACAATGGTTAAGAAAGCTTATCACCTTTATTTTGGCTGCAAAATTGGAGATCAGGACAAGAGGTGGGCCCCACACATATGCTGCAACACTTGTGCAACAAAGCTTTGCCATTGGTTGAACAGGAAAAGGAAATCTATGCCTTTTGCAGTGCCAATGATTTGGAGAGAGCCAACAGATCATACCAGCAATTGTTATTTCTGCATGGTGCCTCCAGTTGGGAAAGGTGTGTCAAAGAAGAAAAAGTGTACTGTGCATTATCCAAACATTCCATCAGCTATACGCCCAGTACCCCACGGAGAAGGACTGCCAGTTCCTGATGCACCAGAATCATTCTCACTTGAGTCAGACGAGGAAGAGGAAGAGGATGAAACTTCTGGTCCTGAACCATCAATGTCACAGGACCCACCTTTTCTCCCATCCTCCTCCTCTGAACCACACCTCATAACACAAGGTGAACTGAATGACCTTGTCAGGGATTTGGAACTACCCAAGACTAAGGCAGAGCTGTTGGGCTCCAGACTACAGCAGTGGAATCTCCTGGCAGGTGATGTTAGGGTTTCCATGTTCTGTGACCATCAAAAGGATCTTGTCCCATTCTTCTTCATGGAAGGTGATCTTGTAGCCTGCAACAACATCGATGGTGTGATGGCAGCCCTCAACAGCGTTCACGATCCAGATGAGTGGAGACTGTTCATTGATTCATCAAAGATGAGTCTTAAAGCTGTTTTACTGCATAATGGCAATGTTTTGCCATCAATTCCAGTTGGTCATGCAGTCCATATGAAGGAAACCTATGACAACATGAAACAACTTTTGAGGTGCATAAACTATGACCATCAGTGGCAGCTTTGTTGCAATTTGAAGGTTGTTGCTCTCTTGCTTGGTCTGCAGACTGGATACACAAAGTACTGCTGTCTTCTCTGAGAATGGAATAGTTGTGCAAGAGATTCCCACTACATCAAGAAAGTTTGGCCACTCCGACAGTCATTGGAGCCTGGGAGGAAAAGTGTTCAGCATCCACCACTTGTTGAATCAAGGAAGATTTTGTTACCACCCTTACACATCAAGCTGGGTCTGATGAAGAACTTTGTCAAGGCCATTGACAAAACACAAGCAGCTTTCAAGTACCTCCGTGAAAAATTTCCAAGGTTAAGTGAAGCTAAGATAAAGGAAGGTGTCTTTGTTGGTCCTCAGATTCGTGAACTTCTTCGAGATGATGCATTTGATCATGCATTGCGTGGCAAGGAAAAGACGGCATGGAAAGCCTTCCAGTTAGTGGCAATAAATTTTCTTGGAAACAACAAGGCAGATAACTACAGGTTGTTTGTGAAAAACCTCCTCAAGGCATACAAAAGCCTTGGTTGCAACATGTCACTAAAGATACATTTTTTGCACTCTCATCGAGATTTTTTTCCACCGAACTGCAGAGCAGTGAGCGACGAGCATGGTGAGCGATTTCACCAGGACATTGCAATAATGGAGAAACGCTATCAGGGCAAATGGAGCCCATCAATGCTTGCAGACTATTGCTGGACAGTGACAAGAGATGCTCCATTTAATGAATACAAGAGACAAGCCAAGAAGCGCCGAGTAGACATTGAATAGGACTAAACTATATACATAATAGTTTTTTGCCTTTTGTTTCATAATAAATTTTATTTATATAACCCTTTTGCTGATTTTTAAAGCGTTACATAAACAGGGCAGGTGAATATTATCATGTAAAGCAACCATAAACACATGAAAAGACCTAGGTTTACAATTTATGATTAAAACTCTACTATCTACACAATATACATAGACATAAAATGTAAAAACTTAAATATCTTAGAAACAGTAGCCAATCAGTTGTTTTAATTGTCATATTTGAATTCAGCACATCAAAATACATAATAAATAGCACATTTTATCTCTGAAGCAGATGACTTCTCAAAAATTGTAGACCAGTGTTACCTTTCCCAGACATAAAAAAGAGCTCTGTGGAGCTCGTAGGCTTATCACTTTCACCACAGAGGTTGGTCCAATAAAAGACATTGCCTCACTCACTTCTTGTCTCTTATATCCTGGGACCAGCATGACTATAACAACACTGCAAACATGAACTTAATAGAAATTGTGGGAGCCGAGCATCTCAGCATCAGAACCCTAATGCTTCTCCTGACTCTCCAGAAGGTATCTGGGTTGCATCACATGAGATTTATTCTCATCTCTCCAAACTCGTGTGAGTATAAATTGGAGATTAATGATGTAAAACAATGTTTTTTAATTTTGCAGATTGACCAATTGAAACAGGAACTTTCAAAGAAAGAATCAGAACTTCTCGCCTTACAAACTAAGCTTGAAACCCTTAGCAATCAGAATTCGGATTGCAAGCAACACATTGAAGTGCTTAAAGAGTCGCTTACTGCCAAAGAACAGAGAGCTGCCATACTTCAGACAGAGGTAAGCTATTTTCTCATCATACAATACAATATAAATGTTTAGTTAACAGAGCGTGTCACGGTTAAAATGATGTATTAATTACAAATCTTTGCAGAAGATATATCCTGGTCTTTTTTTCAATTTGTTAAAAATAGTGTAACAGCTTAAACCCTGCCATGTGCTAATACATTTGGCATGTTTTCCTTATTACAGTATGTTAGCACTGATTCTGCAGTTTTTGAAAAGAACCTACTGACTTCAATAGTGGTCTTGCATGTGTTAGTATTGCAAGATTGGACCCATGTATGGAATCTGCAACATCAAGGGTGTGTAGCTGTAGCTGAGATTTCCCTTGTCTTTAGTGGAATATATATATATATGGCAGTTCTCATTTCTTCTTAATATTTTCACTCCTAATTTCAAATTGTCTTGAGATCGTTTGGGACCTCAGACCTGTTTCCTCAAACCTAATGCTCATTTTTGTGTCTTCTATTGAACATTTCAATTCTAAAGAGAGAGGCCCTTTATAAGTTTTGAAGGGTGCATAAATATAGGCGGGGTGTAGGTTATTGGTATGAAGTCTTTTTTTCTTACAAAATTAGCTTTCATTTTCAAATGTGAATAGATTGTTAATCCTTAATATAGGCCAGTATATTAGGGTTTTTTTATGTGTAATGTGTAAAGTACAGAGCTTGAAAATATAGATATTTAAATATGGTGTATGCAGTTGAGATGGTTTTCAAATGTGATTAAATAAACCATTTACATGTTAAAATTGTCTTTTCCACTAGTTCCTTTTCCATGGCTGTTTTTTACTGTGAAGGTATTAAACACAAAATAGGAATGAAATCTATATTTTAACTGTTTTATTTGTAAGTTTTGAATTGGTGTGCCTTTTAAAAGAACATGAACAGTTAGGTACTGCATTTATAAAAGGAAAATAAACTCTTTACATTCAGAAAAGTATACTAATTTAAATGGATTGGTTTCTTGCATGATAGTTCAAGGTTTAATCCTAGGTTAAGGAATTCCAGGGGCAAAAGTTCACTTTAGTTCATCATCTTCATGGGGAAAAGTTAGCTGACATTTATCTCTATTTATAAAATATATATTCTGAGATTCTGGGTGTCTATTGAACTGCGTGTCCCAGGATTCATCCTCTTACATGTTAATAAGGTACAAATAAAAATTTGAAATTGCAAATCTGCCCTCATCGGTCAAATAAAATAGAAGGAAACATAAATATAAAATCATGATGATAGAATAAGATAAAAAACATCCTTCTGCCTACCACTACTTCAGAAACAGCCACAGATCCCAAAGGAGACTGAGGCAGTCTTGTGGTTTTGGGTGTAGCCAGCTACACTTCCCCTTCCCACTCACCATCCCCACAGCGTCTAGCAACTGCCTGCTCTGACTCATTTGCTCAAGACAATTATCCAGGAGTACCTCCTCCTTCCCCATTCCCCTGGTTTGGGGACTGGCTGACCTGCTTTTACAATGTTTGAGACTCTATTACAACAGACAATTGGGTCCTAAGCACTGTCCAAGAGGATTATGCCATACAGTTCCTCTCTATCCCCCCTTCCCACGTTGCTTTTCAGGGACCCCTTTCACGAGACACTGCTCTTTTAGCAGGTTCAGTCTCTACTGGCCTTTGGGGCTGTAGAGGAGGTCCTCTTGAAGCATTGGGGACCGGGATTATATGCTCAGTATTTCCTGGTTCTCAAACCCTTGGGAGACCTATCTTCAGCCTCTGTGATCTTAACAAATACATCTGATATGTGAGATACCAGATTGTCACCCTGGTAGCAATACTTCCTGTCTTAAACCACAATGACTGGTTTGCTGCCCTATACCTTCAGGATGCTTATTTTCATGTAGCAATTCTCTCAAACTACAGGAGATTTCTCTGGTTTGTTGTGGTGGACCAACACTAGCCCTTTGGCCTGTCTTCTGCCCCTGGGGTCTTTATGAAATGAATGGTCACAGTAACAGCATACCTCAGGAAGAGGGGAATTCATATCTTCCGATATCTGGATGATTGGTTACTGAGAGGCAAGTCGAGAGGATGTCCTGTCTCATGTCTAGTTCACACTATGCCTACTCAATCATCTATGTCTCCTCTTAAACAGCGGGAGGTCAACTTTGTTTCCAACTCTAAGAATCAAGCTCATTGGGCCCTGATAGACTCTACGAATTCGAGAGCATTTCTGCTGACCAACCGATTCCAGGCAATCTGTCACTTATGTCTAGAACTGAAGATCCAGCCCTCAACCACAGCCTGAGTATGCCTGAAGTTGCTAGCCCATATGCCTGCCTGCACACAGGTAGTCCAATATGCCATGTGACTTTATCCTCTTAAAATGTGACTGAAGTCAGCCTATCGTCCATACTGTCATCCTTGGAACAGCTTGGTCAGTCTTCCACTGCCAATCCTGGATTTCGGTTCAGGACGTGTGTCGGGGCATTGCCCTTCACTTGGTCACCACCATCAGAACTATTGTCATTGATGACTCCTTAATAGTTTAGGGACTGCATCTGGAGTCACTGAAGATTCAAGGCCTGTGGTCAGAATGTGAAGCTTCTTTACATATCAATGTCCTGGAGCTTTATGCAATCTACGATGCTTGTCAGGCCTTTCAAGATCTCATCGGGGCTCAGTGGTTTTCATGCTCACCAACAGTACCACTGCAATGTATTAAATGAACAGGCAGTGGGGGAGCACACTCCAATGTGTTTTGTCAGGAGGCAATCAGGTCCTGGCAGTTTTGCTCCAGGGAAAACATTACCCCCATGGCTGATCACTTGCCTGGGATCCACACTCATTGGGCAGATCACCTCAGCAGGAGTTTCTCCCTGAATCGCGAGTGGTCTCTAAAGCTCCGCATCCTGCAGTCTGTCTTTGCACTCTGGAGCATGCTGACAATTGACCTGTTAGCCATGAAAGAAAACAAGAAATGCCAGTTGTTTTGTTCTAAGTTCAAGCTCTTTGATCGATGCTTTTCACTTGAGCTGGGAATTGGCACTCTTATATGCCATTCCTCCAATTCCGATTATCTTGAGGCTCGTTCTCCAGTGCAGTCGAGAAAATATTGGTTTTCCAACCTCCTCACATTGTTGGTCCAACCTTCCATATCCCTTCCCCTTCATCCTGACCTCCTGACTCAGTAGCACAGTCAGGATTTTCACCCAGCAATCAGTTCCCTGCATTTCATAGAATGGATGCTGCATGGTTACATGAGGAGGAGGAATGATGCTCGGAGGCAGTCCAACAGGTCTTGCTTAACAGTGGGAAGCCCTCCACGAAGTGGAAGTGGTTCTCAGTATGGTCATTAGCCTGGGGAGTTCAACCAACATGGGCTTTTATCCAGGACATCTTGGAGTACCTATTACACCTTCAGTCTTCTGGCCTTGTGATTAGTTCATTGAAGATCCACCTGTGGCAATTTCACCATTTCATCCACCTATCCATGGGAAGTTTGTGTTTTCAAACCCCTTGGCAGTGAGATTCTTGAGAGATGTCGCTCATCTCCACCTATCCGGTTAAAGAGCCAGTTGCTTTAATATTATTTTAACAGCTGTTAAAGTACCTTTGGTTAAGCCTCTGGCAACTTCTTATTCCCGTCTGTGTCAGAAAACTGCCTCACCTGTGGCGATAACATCTGCAAGGAGAATGTGCGAGTTGTATGCTTTGAGGGCAGAGCTTCCTTACATGCAATTTTCCAAAGACAAAGAAACCATGTGTCCGCACTCCAGGTTTTTCTCTTATGTGGGATCCCAGTTTCATTTGAACCACATTATATATCTACCAATGTTCTTTCCTAAGCCACATTCAATCCCAGAGGACCAGTGGCTCCACACTCTGGATGTTAGGTGATGTCTAGTATTTTATCTTGGCAGAACAGACCTTTCCATTCCTCAACACGCCTGTTTGTTTCCTATGCAGACCAAATGACGGGCCTTCACAGAGTGTCTCCAGGTGGATAACTTCCTGTATCATGACAGCATAGCCCAGGTTACACCTCCTCAAGGGGTACAAGCTCATTTCACAGAGCTCCGGCGATATTAGCGACATTTCTAAATGACATTCCTATATTGGACATTTGCAGGGTGACCACGTGGTCCTCTGTGCATATCTCTACAAACCACTGTGCCTTTAAGGCTGCATTCAGATCAGATGCAAACTTTGGGAAAGCAGTTCTGTAATCCTTCTTTAAATAGTCTCCGAGGCCCAAGTTCTGTGATTACTGCTTGCAAGTCACCCACATAAAATATGCAGCTGCATTTACTCAAAGAAGAAAAAACGATTACCTACTTCTGCCACCCCCCCATCTACTCTGCATCGGAGTCTGCACTTACAACATTTGGTGTGAAGGAGCTGAGAGGGTCAGGGTGGAGCCCCTTTATATGACCAGTGGAGGGGCTATGCCTGCAGGGCATCAGCGCTACCGCTACAGGTACTGCTAGGCAAAGTTATCCGGCTCCACTGCATGGGGCACCCCCCCATAGAACACATATCTGCATCACAACTCGAACAACAACAGTTACAGGTAGTTAACCGTTTTATCACTGTCTTCTTTATTACATGTCCTTAACATATATGAAGACTGTTATCTGATCTTTTCTCAGGACTAAACATGCCTGTTTTTTTATGTTTCCTCATACATCAGGTTTCTAATCCTTCTACCGTTTTTATTGCTCTCTGAATTCTCTCCAATATGAGCACATCTTTCCTAAAGTGTGATGCCCAGAACTGGACACAATAATCTAGCTGAGGCCTCACCAGTACTGTGTAGAGTGGGACAATTGCCTCCAATGTCTTTCCTACAATACTCATGTTAATACACCCCAGAATATTAGCCTTTTTTTTGCAACTGTATCACATTGACTCATATTCACTTTGTGATCCACTATAAACTCCAGATCCTTTTCAGCAGTACTTCCATCCATTTTATGGGTATTCATTTGATTTTTCTTTCCTAAGTGAAGTACTTTGCACTTGTCTTTATTGAAATTCA